TTACTCTGAGTTACTATGTACATATGGACATGAAAACTTTAACTGGATTTCCAAAGGTTCCTTTTAGAGCTCCACCCCAATGGCAACCAGATCAGAGGAATGGCTGGCTGTGAACCAGTGTGCTTCCAGCATACTCAATTTTATCACAAGCTAGAGGTGACATTTTAAAACATAACCATCTGGAAAGTCCAGCAATCGTAACAACTAATAACAAGTTTACTCTGCCACTATCCAACACTGCAACATGAAGCACTTAAATATGGCAATAATGTTTTGACCTCAGGGAAACTAGAAGTGCACTTTAATTTTGTACAACGTGGGTTTAAATTCTCATTCCATCTACTAATTGCTAGAATTCCATATATGTATGAGACAGTAGATATATTGTGCAAATGCAAACATAGCGTGGAAAAGTTGGATTTGTGCTGCTTAGAAGTCAACCGCATAGACCTATACAAAAACCAAAAGAACTATGGATGCTGTAAATCAGGAACAAAAACAAAGTTCTGAGGAAGTTCTGAGGAAGGGTCACCGGACCCGAAACGTTAACTCTGTTTTCTCCTTCACAGATGCTGCCAGACCTGCTGAGCTTTTCCAGCGACTTTGTTTTTGTGCATTGACCTATACGTCTGCATTAGTAAAGCAGTATTTTATACTGGAACATTACATTGTACAAAATGCTGTAACTTGTAAATGGCTAAAGTTATTCGTCTTACTGAACAAGAATAGTCTATTCAGAAAGTGGAATACTGTTGTGAGACAGGGATTACGTTCAGGAAGGCGATAGGTAAAAGAGAATGAAGGGGGTAAAACTGAAGAGGCTTAATTACTGACCCTATTGTGATCATGGTAATTCATGTATTTTCTGAGAATTGAACTTTGGCAACAAACTGTTAAGTTACAAAGAAGGTGTTCATTGATAAATATTGACTGCTTTATTATGCACCTCACATCTGCTAACAAAGTGGAAAGGAGATGCTAATACCACTGATACTACGTGTCAGGTTTTAGGGCTGGGAAGGTAGTTGTAAAGTATTCTATGCACCAACACAAGGACAATCCCTAAAGGAAAAATATCTATGACCCATAATAAGCTCACCGTTTAAAATCTATAGTAAAACCACTACAGGAATGCTTTCATACTGAAATTTAGAATACATTATTTCATGATTACATAGTAGAAGCTAAAAAAGGCTTTCTATGGAGTGAAACTTTCCAAAATTTAGCAATGTCTAAGAGATGGCCACCTTTACTTTGGTTTCAATTAATGACTCAAGATGAGAAATCAGGTTTGATGAGTTTACAAAAGCACATACTGTTCTCAGCATGAAATATTTAATCTGATTCTAAGTGCCCAACTGCATGCTGGATGTGTTGTACATTAAGATCATGAAAGCTTTCAATTGTAATTCTGCAGAAATTGTGATCCCATCTTAATCAAACAGCCAGTCTTAAAGGGACACTGAATATATGGAAATTTATCACTGGAAAACCTGAGTGCAAAAATTACATTTCTCAGTGACAGGAACCCCCTTTCAGTCTACCGTAAAGATGTCAAAGAATGCAAATCAGATGCCACGCTGATTACCTGTGATTCAGGCTATTTCTCCACAAACACCCAAAGCCTCTATGTGAGGAAACGGAAAATCCACGCTCCAAATCCCTCAACACATCTCCAACACTATCCTCCATTTCCAATCTACCACTACCAGAATGGGCATGAGATTCAAACACGTTAAAATATCAAATTCAATAAACTGTTATGATCCAGTTAGAAGCGGACTGATTTGTTTCCTCATCCCATTCCTCCACTGGCCACAAATTTAAATTTAACAAGGGAGGTGAGCTTGTCAATTACATTATACTTGTTATATTCACACAGACATGTCTATATCTAGTTCAGAATCAGAAACGAGTCTGTCAGATACCTTAATACAACAAAATAAAGAATTAGTTACTTACAAAATAAATACCTCACTCAAAGATTGTCAACAAGTTTAAAATGTCCATATGTATCCAACTACTAAAATAAAAAAGGTAAGGTCTCCATAGTCTCATCAGACCACAGGGCTGCACTCTGATAAGAAAGACAGATGACTGACAGTGGTTTAACCTAAGGGTAACCACGCCTCAGGCAAGGGGAGTGGTTGAGAAGGACAGTCCTTTGTGATAACCTCAGCCAGTGCTTTAAAAAAAACACTCTCACAGCCTCTTTCAAGCCTGGGGGAAAAATATGCAATTCTGCTGAACATTATCTTTAAAGAACTTTGGCTAATTGGGTATTTGCTATTCTGATGCCAAAGTCATTTTGTGCACAAGTTATTGGCACCAAGATTTCTTCCTGATTAGTTATGGCTGGTTGAATACTTTCTTAATGGAGATAATGGTGCAGATACGATATCTCCTTTAAGAACCATCCAATTGCAGTAAGGTGCCCTTGTAACTCTTGAACTTTGACAAGTTGGGGAGGTGGGGGGAAAGGAAACCTGCGCATGCATGCGCACATGCACACACGCACGCACGCGCACACACACACAGAGGATGAGGGGGGAGAGGGAGGAGAGGCAAGGAAGAGAGGGGGGGTGGGAGGGGAGAGGGAGGAGTGAAAACAGAGGGAGGGGTAGGAGGTTGTTTCCCTGATGGAAAGGTTTGTGTCTTCAGAAGTAGCAT